TTCTCCGTGCTGTTCTTGATCTGAATACGGAGGCCGGATCGCTCGATTGCGCGTCGGAGCATCGTTAAACAAGGTAAGTAAACTTGAATGTTGTTCTGCAAATTTGTGTACAGAGAAACCTGCATGTTTGAGATGCCGATTTCAGATCGTTAATGTTGAAATCTTGCGAAGTGATGAACCAGAGAATCGTAAAACACGTCTTAAGCTTCGATTTGATATATTGCATGCCCCAATCGGACTTAGTTTGCTATGTCAAAACTCTTTCGAAAGTTAGGATCAGAATCTGGATTGTGATGTTCAACTCTGTTCTGATGATTTCCTGATTGACGTTGTGCTGTTTGATGATTTTTCCGATTTTCTACAATCATTTTTTGAAAACACTTCCTTCATGAAATTCGTAAAACACATCTTAATCTATTTATCATAACATTTTCATAAAATTCCAAGCATGTTAGCATGGTACGATCTACAACGTCATCTATGCATGAATCGGGTGACAGACTGGTTTCTGATTGACCTTCGTGTGTTCTTCGATTTTCATAAATTCGTGTGCTCAAAATATAAAAAAAATTTCTTCACGAAATTTTACACTGAGATCGATATCTTTCCATTGATACTAATTTCATCAAAAGTGGAGTTCATTTGAATTTTCAAAAGGAATTTTTATGATCGAATCAGTATCTGTGTTCAGATCTGATTTTCATTCCTTTGAAATTCAAAAGATGTTTCTCCGAATTTGATAAAGTTAGAGTCCTCCTTTGCAAAACGTCAAAATTACAAAGTTGTTCATTGAGGTCTCATTATGTTGACTGAAAATTTTGAGGGCCTAATAGCAATTTTTGGAGGATCAATTTGCTTAAAATTTCATATAAGGCCTTCTTGGGTTAAAATTTGATTTGCAATTGAGTCTTTTGTGAAAACAGAATTTTATAAAAATTTGGAGGACTTTTTAGCAAAAACTCAAAACATAAAAGTTGTTGCACACGGTGAATCCTAACTATCTAAAAATGTTCACGCAGTTTTGAGAAGGTTTGTTATTTTTCCCGCCATTATTTTCAAATCCATAATAGAACTGGGTCCAGTCTGCCACCGAGAGTGAATTTGATATTTTCGGGAAAATCGGTGAGGATTTAGAAAAAATATCCTTCTTGACTTTTGATTCTCATGTCATAATATTTCTAATGACACCTGAATCACTTCATTTGGACATCATTAGGGTAGTTAATCACATCTGAACAGAAGCAATCCGAATTAGATAATAACTGAATAGGTGGTCTCCTTATGAAGCCCACTTCCCAATGCTTGATTGGCTTCGAAATAAGGCCCATGGGCCTGAATGCATGCTTATTCCATTGCTATGCATGCGTTTGTTAGATGAATATTAGGCCCGATGCATGTTCGGCGGGTAGTCCATTGTGGTCATTTAGAACCCGACTTTAGGGGTTAATTGATATGAGTTGCCGTTTTGTGAAGGCAAATGGTAGCCCATTATCGTTAACCATTGATCAAATAATGTTAGATGATTAGGTGGGTGGTGAATCGAAATGCATGAAAAACAAAGGCCGATCGCGAGGCCCGTGTTTGATTAGTGAATTGTTTGCACCATTGCTTTTCTTTGGTTATTCCTTTGTACATTGTTTGTCGTGAATGTATGTTGTGAATGTAAACGCCGACACCCGAGAGGCGGTCCATGGGAGATAATCCAAAATGGTGAAAGACTAAGGCGATTGACCGATGTCCAATCCGGTCTCAATTTGTATTCATTTGATGATGGCGATAGACCGATGTCCGATCCGGTTTCAATTCATATTCAATTCATTCGTCCCCGATCATGTCTCGGGTTCTCAATTTGTGTTGTAATAAACACCCGATGAGTTGCGCGTTTTTACTTTCTCGCACTTAGAATTAGCTCGTTTTTTCGATACTTCGAGTGTTTACTTTACGAAATGTCTTTCAATACAATTGATTGTTTCTTTCTTTTTCTAGACTAAGATAGGATTAGTTTAGAATCTTAAATGAAAATACAAAAACAAGATGCATGATCACCTAGTGGACTAAGATTTTAACATGAAAATGGTAAAGAACAAATGCACAACAACTTAGATAACAACCATCTTAAGTTTAGCGGTACCGAAAGGGCGTTAATAGAAATATTAACGTAAGCTAGTCCCCGAACCTTCGATCTCTGGTTTTCGTAGAAACCGAAATGAAACTCCCGCGTTTCGGTTGGGTATTCTAGCCGACCCCCGACCTAGGCTAGTGGCGACTCCTAAAAAAAATAAAATTGATCCGCTGTCACGCGAGATATGGATTTAGGGAAAATCCACGTTCATGATCAATGGGCCATATGGATAACCAAAAGATTTATGCTTCAGTAAAATCATTTTTATGATGTGCCATATGAGCCGTTTCATGAACACTTATCTCTAAACCCGCCTTATCGAGTTCGGCCCTCGTGAGGTAGGCCGCGACAGGCTTGGCGACTCCGCTGGGGACTAGGTTACAAACCTAAGTGGATTAAAGCCGTAATAAACTTGTTGGTTGTTATCTCATTTGTCTACATTTTGTAGCATCGACTGCATGTCGAAGTCGCGTGGAAAATGAGGTTAGTCCACTAACCATGTGTTAAATGGTTTTGTAGGTAGGAGACATAAGGGGTGGAGTGAATGCAAACCCTTTGTTTTGCAGGTGGCATTCGGGTGAATGTCGAATGTATGAGATTATATTGAAGTGTTGTTTGCTTTAGATTTAAATGCATGTTTACTTGCTTTAGCACGACACAATGCACCCACGTCCCGCGGTCTAAAACCCCGGATCGCTTTAGGGCACCTTTAGGAGGTATTAAGAGTGGAATCCGCATGTGAATGCATGTGGTAATCCATTCTTCAATACCGCTCATCTTGATTAGTAAGAAGTGCACCGACCGACGTTAGTAGCAGTGGGTAAACTCTTCTTATCTAATTAAGATGGGGACGTTAAATCTTTAGAATCCTACCCTTAGATGTCAAAACCCACATGTCCTCATGCGATGTGTCGATGTGTTTGCCATTTTTTTTTTCATGGTAAGGTTGGTTGTATCCTTCGGCAATTTCAATTACGCCATTTCAATTCCACGTTATATTCCTTTCTATAATGCGTAGTGATTAATCTTGATGCCCCAAATTAGGATTAGTCAAAATGGATATGTCGGAGATTCGAATCATCCCCGTACCTAGAGCTCTCGTGACCATGTGGGAAAGTCTCGAGTCAAAGCACAAGGACTACGTGGAAAAGAGGATCGGATATCTTCCCGCACTTTTATACATCGAGCCTCGTATCGCCATGATTAAGGCATTGTCCCATTTTTGGAACTCAAAGACATCCTCTTTTGTGTTTGGTCGAAATGAGTTGACCCCTATAATTGAGGAGTACGATATTGCCATTGGAAGAGTCGGGTCTTTTGGTCTAGTTAGTCCTCCGATAGATATAGATCCTATAACTCTTTTGAGCCAATTCTTAGGAGTTGACATTCTCCAAATCAAAGGCGTTCTTAGAGGAAATTTTAATGCACTCCCTTTTACATTCTTAGAACGACATTTTTTTAGCTTGCCAAAAGAAGCTGGTAATCAAATTCCTCGCGTTTTTCTCTTAGCATTCCTTGGTTTTGTGATCTTTCCATAGACCAAAAAGACTATGGATCCTTTGGTAGTCCACATTGTCAATCAAGTGTGTATGTTCAAAAGATTTTCTAATATGATCCTAGGTGAGACCTTCGTATCACTCAATAGGTTCAAACAAAACAGAAATGGTGTCTTTAGAGCCCCAATAGGTTTACTCCAAATTTGGTTGGTCTCTCATCTCAAAGACTTCGGTTTGAGCTTGAAAATCATAGATGTGTCCAAAGATTGTCATCCTATCTCGCTCTTCCGAGAAAAGGAAGAAATCTTTCCTTATTGGTCATTCTCAACTTGGTTTAATTTTTTCAAGAACCTTGTTCCAAATCAAATCCAATGGCATGTTCATTGGCTTGGAAATCCCGAGGTGCGCCTTAATAACGGATCCGACAACCCAATCCCACTTTTGGGTCTCACGGGGTCTACGTCATATTACCCTTTTAGGGTGATCCGTCAATATTGCGCGCTTCAAAAGATTCCACCATTCCTCAAGATGGGGTTATATCATTTTGACTATTGCAAATATGTCATCCAAAAGAACCAAATGGCAGATTTGAAAGAAATGATCAAGTCTATCATTGATATGTGGTACAAATGCCACCCGGAGCCGATTCTCATTACCGATGAGTCAGAATTGGAAGGGGAAATGAAGATACATCACGCATTGCCGGAGTACATACACCGTCGTCTCGAGCCCGAGCTTAAAGTGGATCTCCCTAATGTCCCCGAGAAGCCAACTCAACAGCAAGCTATAGCCGCAAGAGCTCTTCGGGAAAAGGATGAGGCTTTAGCCGAGGTTGAACATTTGACCCAAGAAAACAAACGAATTCGCCTCGCACCTAAGGAAGATCCATTAGGATTTTGGCTATATTTCATGAGGAAATCTCCTTTCATGTAATTTTCATTTTATAGATTTGATGTATAGGATTTCTTTTTTACTCATTTTAGTAATGATGTAATAGGATTCTCTTCTTGTTTTTAGATTGATCTATAGGGATTATATTTCACGAATTTTGTTGTTAATAATGAAATTTCCCTTTTGTGTACTTTCTTTTTCGAGATTCCAATGGAATATAGATGGGGCATCTTGATTAATCATCGCGTGTTACCCCTTCAATTGTATAATTTCTTGTGAAGAAATTGTGATAAGAGATTATTCACATGATATTGGGATCATGAGAATATTTCTTATCTCTATTTCATCCAAAGAAAATATAAAATTGAAGGGTTTTATATTTTCGTTTCAATTCATTTTCCGCATACTAACCTGATTCTTGTTTTTTTTTACAAAGGTACTAAAATACGGCCGAGACGCGTTCTATTATACGCACCCGTCGCCAAGCAAGGATGGAAAACGAGGACACTCGCACCCGCGTTATTACCATTGAGAATCAGATGGCGCAAATGATGGCGCTCTTGACTGATCTTGCAAATCAAGTAAAGAACCTCACGCCTATGGCTCCTACTGCTGCAACTTCTACTCTTAATGCGCCTACTAACGCACCGATGATAGATCCTGTCAACAAAGGACCTGCTGAAGAAGTCCCCGCTAATGCTATTCCCGCCGTCATTGATTTGGAAGCTCCACCTAAGGAGTCGCCTGCTGTTCACTTGGATGAAGAGAGTGCGAGACGTCTCGCAAAATTGGAAGAACGCTTGTGTATGTTGCAAGGCTACCAACTCCAAGGCTTTGATAAGCTGTCGCCTTTTACAAAGGTGAAAGTCCCTGATTTTTGCAAGGAGCCTGAATTCTCGAGGAAGTACGATGGAACTGGGTGCCCTAAGACCCACTTGAAATATTATTTGAATAAGATGGCTCGTTACTCCGATAACACTCCGCTCTTGATCAACAATTTTCAAGATAGTTTGGCTGATTCCGCTTTAACGTGGTTCATCGAGATAGATTTGGAGAAAATTTGCACCTGGGAAGACCTCGCAGATGAATTCCTCCAACAATACAAGTTTAATACTGAAATTGCTCCAACCCGTGAAGAGCTAGTCCGGGTTGATAAAAGGAGAAATGAAACTTTTAGAGCGTATGCCTAAAGGTGGAGAACTACGACGTCCCAAGTCAAACCTCCGCTGTCCGAGAAAGAGATCATGCAACTGTTTCTTCGAGCTCTACCTCGAGAATACTTCGATAAGATGTTTAATAACACTTGCATCAATTTCCCCGCAATGGTTGAACTGGGAGAACGTATCGAAGCAATCATGCGAGAGGGTCGATTATCTAAGATGACGACTCGCAGATTTACCTCAAAGAAAGATAAGGAGCCAATGGTGGGGGTTGCCTATATTCAAAATCCTAATACTCAAAAGCCATTAAACTCACTAGTTCAAAGGTCCGATATGGAAGCAGGGGGGCTCTTCTCGAAATTTTGATCGAAAAGGAAAAGCTCCACAAAGACAATTCACTCCGTTGCCAAGACCTATGTCTCAGTTGCTGCCGATGTTGATTGAACAAAGACTCGCAGCAAAAGAAATCCCGAGAGACAACCCACCAAAGTTTGTTGGGTTTGATATAGCAAAATCTTGCGTGTACCACATGGGTGAGAAGGGCCATGATGTGGACAACTGTTATACTCTCAAGGTCAAGATTCAGAACCTGCTAGATAAGAAGATCTTGTCATTTAAAGATGCTACACCAAATGTTCAACAACATCCACTCCCCAATCATACCGAAGCCGTTAATGTGATATTTGGAGACGAGAATGAGAAACCCTTCTTGTTCGACATGGTGAAGTTGGAAGAGCTATTGACCATAGCTAGATGTCAACCGAAAGAAGGAAATGCATCCCAAGAGGAGAAAATGTATTGCCTAGCCAAGATGGCTGCTTTAGGCATAATCCAGCCATGTCAAGGAAAGAAACCCGAAGGGTCCATCGAGACCGCCGTGATTGATTTGTCATCCGAAAAATTCTCTTGCAAGTTCGTAGGTGAAGTTACATGATCTAAGCCAAAAGATGATGGATACGAGCCAGATGTTGACGAACTTTGGAGTGACATGTATTCCGATACCGATTTGGAATGTGAGAGCAAGAATGCTTGTCGAGATCGTGAATTTATGAAGAAGGCCCACGAGAAAGACTTAAAAGACATTGTTCCGACTGAATGGAACGACGAAGATAATAGAGAAGTTCTTTCCGATGCTGATTCGGAATTTGAATGCCATACTTCCTACTGGGACCGAGAGTTTGTTAGGAAGGCAATTGAAAAGGGCAAAATTGTCGACACCCTTGGACAGCCGAGTGGTAAATATGATTTCATGGTAAAATACACTCCTCCTCCAAGCGCTTTTATCAACCCCAAGACTATCGTCCCAAGTAGATGGGGACCTGAATTTGAAGACGATGGCATTGTAGCCATGATCAATCCTGCTGCGTAAGGGATGTTTCTGTGTTCTACTTTTCTTCCAGTTGTAATCCACCTAATTCTCCCCTGCGAGGGACTTCCATTTGTTCATTTCATTTGTTCATTTCACATGTTGTGATAATTCGGATCACAAACTTTGGATCCAAAACGTTATATGCTGTATGACATTAATGCATATCACCAAAAGCATTCTCATGTTTTGTTAATAGATGTGCGAAAGTATACCAAACCAGCCCTATGATGATGCTTTGAGGCCTGGGCTTTTGCACGATCTATAGTTTTCAAAACAATCCTTTGGAACAAGGATGTCCAATGATATGAGGACGAGTTCCCCATGAAATTTTCGAAAATCTGGAATTCGAAAAAATAATTTCATCACATCTGCATGCATTGCATTTCTTATCTTCATATACTAACCATTTTTTGTTGCATCTTAGGCATGACACTTTGCATAATCATGATAGTCATATGCATGGCTTGGATTCATGTCCAAAAAACTCTTACGAACCCGATTATTCTGATCCTGAAAATGAAGAAGATTCCAAGGTTATCAAAAAAGAATGGATCCGACATGAAGAATCCAAACCTCCCACTAAAGAACAAACCGTCATTGTAAATTTGGGAAATTCTAAAAATCCCAAAGAAACAAAGATTGGGGCAAGTCTCTCTCAAACGGATGCCGTGATTGGCATGATCAGTTGCTGTACGCGTTAATGGCTTACCGAACTTCTATTCGCACTTCGATTGGGGCAACACCATTCTCATTAGTGTATGGAATGGAAGCAGTCTTACCTATGGAGGTGGAAATTCGTTCGTTAAGGGTACTTTCACAAGTAAAGCTTTTTGAAGCAGAATGGATTCAACAAAGATTTGAACAGCTTAACATGATTGATAGAAAAAGGATAAAAGCCTTGTGCCATGGACAAAACTACCAAAAGCGAGTGGCTAAGTCATTCAACCGTAAGGTTCGACCCAGGCATTTTGAGATCAATGACTTGGTTTTGAGGAAAGTCCTACCCATCATTCCGGATCGTGGGAAGTTCATCCCCAATTATGAAGGACCGTATGTCATCAAGAAAGTGTTGCCCAGCGGAGCATTGATTCTTGTAGAAATGGATGGCCGAGAGTTGCCAAAACCTGTAAATGCTGATGCTGTCAAGAAATATTTTCCTTGAATAAGAAGCCTTTGAGCTGCTTTTGGATTGAATCCAAGTCACTTTAGGACATTTGCATCATGCATCTCATGCATACATGGTATTTTTGCATATTTGTTCATTTTGTAGGTACTCAATTGTTCTCCAGGGAAGCTATTCCAAACCTCAAGAGTCAAGCTTGAGGAAGTAGCTATAAAAAAAATAATAAAAAAATCTTCTCCCTAGAGCTTAGGAAGTAGATCCTATGTGTGAGGACCTTTCCTGTCCAAAAGGTTTTTCAAGTTTGAAATTTTATTTTAAAAAAAAAACATCCCCAGAGGAGTCAAAAAAACAAACATTAACATTTCAAATGTTTTGATTTATCAAAATTCCCCACAGATGGGAGATTTAACCAAATGATCCTTTGAAAAAACAAAAAAGGGATTTCTCAAAAATGCCGAATGGAAATGCCTAGGATGATAAAAGGTAAACTTTTGATCAAACACGTCCCTATACACATTTTGAGAAAATTGAGCGAAAAAAACCATGTCATAGGACGTAGGGTTCGTTCACATTGAATACATGGATTGAAATGATAAAAGGCATTTCATTTCTCTATCCTAAAACACTCATTTTATCCTTTGCTAGCCACTTTGAGCCAAATAAGGAGAATTTTCAAATACCCCTGTTAAGAACCACCCCACATTGGGGCGAGTTAGGAGGTTTTGGTTGATCATTTTTGGAGCAAAAAGATTAAGAAAGATTTTATTACTTTCATTTGTATCAACTTTCTTGTGGTAATTTCAGATGGATCTTTATGGAAGCTCGAAACAACCCAAAGTGAAGAAGAGCATTCTTTTCCTCTACCCTAACACAATTATCCCTTGCTTAGCCAAATTGAGCCTTAAGCATGTTCATTTCAAAGCCGAAAATGTTGATTATCTCCCTACATTGGGGCATTGCATATGATTTACCAAGGAAATTTAGAAAAATTAGTGAATATGTATAGAGTGTCTCGAGAGTCCAAAGAGCTCAAAAGATAATATTAGGGGGTATGAAAAAGCAGTGTGCCTGGTAAAAGCAAGGCCAATGCCCATGAAAAGAAAATATATCAAAATCAAAAGCAAAAGCAAAAGCCAAAAAAGCAACATGCTTATGATGAAAATAAAATTCCCATTGCAAAAGATGTTTAGAAAGATCTTATGTTGCAAGAAAAATGGACTCTCGAGACAATTTGTATTTCAAGAGTCAAATGATGTCAAATTTGGATGATTTGGTAATGATGCCAAGATAATCACCATTTCTTTTTCAAACCCTTTCTACAAAATTTCAAGCCTTTTGAGCCTAACCCAAACCGACATTACAACCCTCTTCGAAGTCTCTTCCGATTGGGATGGTTTGAGTTGACGTAAAGATTTCACAAAGAAGCTACCACTAGAAGGAGTGGAAGTAATCCTATCTTATCTTATCTTCAAGGTTCTTGACTTGTAAACCCGCTGAAGATGTTGATGGTATATTTCTTTTCTAGGCCTCAAAGCAAATGCCCTTTGTGTAAGCCCATGACCAAGCCTATATTACGGTCCTTTTGAAAGACCTTTCTGATTAATCAATTTGTATTCAATGTGAACGTTTCCGAAAACCTTTGACATAGGTTCGTGAGGCATCACCAATGAGAATTGAATAGCTTTCCCACATCAATGGATGGAAATCAAAGCCTTTATGAGAGTCAGTATGAAAGACCTTTTTGATTAGGTTATTTCCAATTTGGCATTTTTTTTATCTGACATCTTTAGATGGTTATTCAAAGATCATTTTGTTAAAATTTCCTCTTAAGGATTTTGATAGTCAGTGTCTTTTACCAAAATGTGAAAAATTCCGTTTGATTTGTCGTTAAACAATCTCGGAACTTTTTTTCAAAATATTTTTCCCCAGTGGATCGGTTTTTGGTCATCCTAAACCATAACCCCCATTTTCGATTTTTGGTCAGCCTAAACCATATCCCTCATTTTCGGTTTTTGGTCAGCCTAAACCATAACCCCCATTTTCGGTTTTTGATCAGCCAAAACCATACCCCCATTTTCGATTTTTGGTCAGCCTAAACCATACCCCCCATTTTCGGTTTTTGGTTAGCCTAAACCATACCCTTCATTTTCGATTTTTGGTCAGCCTAAACCATACCCTTCATTTTTTGTTTTTGTTTATCCTAAACCATAGATTTCTTGCAAAACTCTTTCTTTCTTTTTCTCCCTTCATTCCACCCCATGAGAGAGAGAAGAACACGTGAATGACCTAACAATCCAATGGTAAGTGCTTCCGGTAAGACTCTGATCAAATGTCTTTGTCTCTATTTTCTTTCATTTCCCAAGTGGAGTCGACTAAAAATTTGTAGGTGCCAATTGGTCTTTGAGCGGAATCTCTTCGAACTCCCACTCAAAGAGAGGCAGCTGTTGACACCTAATTTTTAGCCGACGCATCATTAAAAGTAGAAAATTCGAGATTACGATCGAGACAGAACCCGTTTCTTGAACAAAAAGTGTCGTTTTTTAATTCTATCTATTGGCCTAGCTTCTGTAAACAATTTTCTATTCATTTCATGCAAAAATCTGAAAAGTCAAACGGTTGACTTTCGAGTTGATTTTTTGGTCAACCCTTTGACCAAAAGTCAACCCCGAGTCAAATTGGGGCTTTTTGCATAAAAAGATTCCTTTCAAGTTCAATTTCACTTTGGAAGTGGAAATTCAAGAAAAATTCAAAGATTTGATCATAAAATCAAGCTCATAGTGAAAAGTTAACTAGGGTTTGACTTTTGATCAAACCTTTGACCAAAAAAATTGAAAAATACAAAAATCCAAAAATCATCTTATTTTACATTCAATTTGCCTTTGTCATTTGAAATTTTACAAAAATCGATTTAGAATCAACTATTTCCCAATTTGCGGAATTTGATTCAAATCGGCCAAAAATGAAATTACTTCATTTCTAGTAATTTTTTAGGTTAGTTTTCTTCACGACATTTGATCTAGAGGTCATCTTATATTTAATTTTGGAACCAATTTTGTGATTCCAAGCCAAACACAAAAATCCCCAATTTTGGCCCTAATCAGTGATTTGGATCGATTCTTCATGATTTGTGCAATTGAGGTACGAATGAGCCTAATTTCTCATATGAAATCCAAATTCAAAATCAATTTTGGAAGATTCACATGAATTTGAGCCCATTTGATCAATTTAGTGATCCAATGATTAAGAAGTCTAAGAGTAATTGGTCCAATTAGTGCAATTCAACTTGACCCATTCTAGACTAATATTCAATTTGATGAATTGAGACTCAATTTGGCTAATTGGACTTCAATTAAATTTGTTAGTCTAGTTCGGCCATGCAATTACCCAAATTCAAGAACAATTGAGCCAAATAAGTTACATTGGATCAATTTGTGTATGAATTTCAAATCGATTCAATTCAATTTGATCGAATTCGATATTAATGGGGTCAATTAATCATGATAGAGATCAAATTGTACAAAATAGGAACAAATGGAATCAAGGATTGAACTAGTTCAATCAGGCCAAATTCGGGGCTAACCGGCTCAACCCGGTTTGATTCAAATTGAACCGGTTTGATCAGATTGGCCATTTTCCGATAAAAAATCCGGCAATCGACGGTCCATTCCGACCAGCCAAGGCCGGCCACATCCTTTTGAGCCCAAAAAATGACAAAAATGCCCTTAATTGAAAATTACGAAAATGCCCCTAAGAAAAATTACTAAAATACCCTTCTTCAAGGATTAAGCAAATTAATTAGGGGATAAGCAAATCAATCATGGCCATTCATTTAGAATTGATCATGTCCATCCATGATGCCATGTCACCAATCCTTAGCCCTTAAGGAATATTCTTAATCATTAAGGATGCATTTTAGGCCATTGGATTAATCTAAGGGCTAGGATTCAAGGTTGAGGGGAGTATATAGTTTTTTTTCCCTCCAAAATAGGGGGGGACACTCATTTTCAGATCTGAATTCTCTCTCCTCTTTCTCTCTCTCTCTCCCTCTCTCTCTAAACTCACGTATCTCTCTCTCTCGTTCTCTCTCGGCCGCCGGCCATCTCGCCTCTTCGCCATCAGCTTTCCGGCGAACCACCGCCTCACCGTCGTCCCCCACGGTGCCACAAGGCCGGTCGCAAGACCAGGCGACCTCGCTGGTGGCCGGAGCTCCTCATTCCGGCGAGTTTTCCTCCACGGCAGCATCACTGGCGTTGCCGCCGGTGATTTGATCCGCCGGTTCAAGCGGCTGAACCGGCCAACCGGCGTTCCCTCCGGCGATCCAGAACCTCCAGCAGCATTCCTCTGCGTCTTCATGTCGCTGTGGTGGCTGGCTTCTCGTTGAACAGCCACCGGATCGTTTATTGTGACTTGATTTTCCGTTATTAGTTCACTAGTGCGAGATCGAATCGATTCTCACTATAGTTTGTGCAATCTCTTCTCATAGGTTGTCGAGCTTTCCGAGACTTCTCCGTGCTGTTCTTGATCTGAATACGGAGGCCGGATCGCTCGATTGCGCGTCGGAGCATCGTTAAACAAGGTAAGTAAACTTGAATGTTGTTCTGCAAATTCGTGTATAGAGAAACCTGCATGTTTGAGATGCCGATTTCAGCTCGTTAATGTCAAAATCTTGCGAAGTGATGAACTAGAGAATCGTAAAACACATCTTAAGCTTCGTTTTGATATATTGCATGCCTCAATCGGACTTAGCAAATTTCGAAAATTAGGATCAGAATCTAGATTGTGATGTTCAACTCTGTTCTGATGATTTCCTGATTGACGTTGTGCTGTTTGATGATATTTCCGATTTTCTACAATCATTTTTTGAAACACTTCATGAAAGTCGTAATTTACATCTTAATCTGTTTATCATAAAATTTTCATAAAATTCCAAGCATGTTAGCATGGTACAATCTGCAACGTCATCTATGCATGAATCGGGTGACAGACTGGTTTCTGATTGACCTTCGTGTGTTCTTCGATTTTCATAAATTCGTGTGTTCAAAATATGAAAAAATTTTCTTCACAAAAGTTTACACTGAGATCGAGATCTTTCCATTGATACTAATTTCATCAAAATCGGAGTTCATTTGAATTTTCAAAAGGAATTTTTATGATCGAATCAGTATCTGTGTTCGGATCTGATTTTCATTCCTTTGAAATTCAAAAGATGTTTCTCCGAAATTGATAAAGTTAGAGTCCTCCTTTGCAAAAAATCAAAATTACAAAGTTGTTCATTGAGATCTCATTATGTTGACTGAAAATTTTGAGGGCCTAATAGCAATTTTTGGAGGATCAATTTGCTTAAAATTTCATATAAGGCCTGCTTGGGTTAAAATTTGATTTGCAATTGAGTCCTTTGTGAAAACCTAATTTTATAAAAATTTGGGGGACTTTTTAGCAAAAACTCAAAACATAAAAGTTATTTTACACGGAGAATCCTAACTTCCTAAAAATTTCACGCAGTTTTGATAAGGTTTGTTATTTTTCCCACCATTATTTTGAAATCCATAACAGAACTGGGTCCAGTCTGTCACCGAGAGTGAATTTGATATTTTCGGGAAAAATATCCTCGAGGGAGAGGATTCCATGTCATAATATTCCAGAGTGCACAGAATCCTCTAAGCCTTTTCATGGAATGCTAGATATTTAACTACATCTTCTTACCATAAAATAGAATGCTAATCATCGTTAGTAACATTCACATGGATCTCTATATTAAAAGGGCTGTTTGAACAAACTATGAATACGAAATGTTTTAACATCTTGTGACAAAATAATTAACTGTTTCCGACATCACACACAAATGAGAGAGAATCTTATTTTGCTAGAACCGGTACCACTGACGTCACATCTAGATTTGTGCTTTGCATGTAGAATACAAAGAGTCACAACACTATAGTTCAAGTTATTTTGCGATGAGCTTAACTCAAGAATGGGAACTACCTTGAACTGCAAGTTTGACTTAGGTTATAGTCAAATGAAGAGATTAACCAACAAGAATAAGAACAATAAACAGTAAAATCAGAATAAACCAAGAATCAGGAATGAGGAGCGAGGATATTTTCTAACTTCATCTTGAAGACCTTTATATTGTCCATGTTGTTATTGACTCCCATCATACAAGGAAATCTAAAGCCATAAGTATACTCAATCTTGGTATGAGCATCACATCGTACTGCCAAAGCAAGAAACATTGCCCCAGCGTGCTAATCAATGTCATTCCATTGTTAACAGGTTATAATATAGAAAGGTCACACAATGCAGCCCACTTGTTATATGCACAAGGAACTGATAATCATTCAATACACAGCAAAGGTGCATCATAAAACTTTACATGATGTACATGATGTTCAGAAAAACAAGGAATCATAAGTTGAAAGGTCTTACCTAGTTGTACAAAGGCAGGAGAGGATTCAACAAGAAGAATCAATGCACAGAGATCAAATGATAAGCCTGATTAACCCATGGCCTGTGAAGCTTTGGAGCTGAAATCAAAATATTAGCATTTGGCATATATCTATAATACTCAAACAAAAAAAACGATTCCACAATGTTGCAAACAGCAAATGAATGGAAAAGGAGGGGAAAAACGGTGAACAAGAATGATATTCATGTTACGGGGTTCTATAGAATAGAGAAGAAAACCAAATTCATTTTATCATTGCGTAGATAAATTATTTCAACACCATCTTTTCTGTATGTAACGAGTTTCCAAAGCTTTCTAATGATCTCAGAAGCACAAAAAGGTTCTGGTCAGATCAGTCTCTTCAACTATTTGCAAATAAAGAGCTCAAATTGGAGAATTGCTCGACCAAGAACCATATATGTTTTAGTAATTCACGATAGGGATCAAGGAAGAAGATAATTTCTCTCAACGAGTCTAACCAACGGATTATCAACTATTAAGATACTGCACTTCGTTTTTTTCCTTACATCCCATTTCTCAAATGGCAATCTAGCTAAGAATACCTAGTCTAGAGGAAAGCTATATTTGATAAACAGAGCATCTGAAAATTGGCCCAAAAAAAGGACTGGCCGTCTGAAACTCTTTAACTTTTCTTTACTGGGCATATTCTACACCTATTCATAGCAACCATTACATGGCTGAAAACCGGTCCACTCAAGAAACTATACTTAGTGTCAGTCTGGTAAAGTGTACCCACCATTATAGTTTCCTTGTTCATAAAAATCTCACAGAAGAGAAACCGCTTTTGATGCCATTATCCCTCCACAACATTTGAAACCCTTTGATCCAGAATTCCCATTACTGCAAGAGAAACAAGAAAAAAGTTGGAAACATTCATCAATCGGGCAGACACTTGAAAGGGGAACATAGATGAAATTTCTATGAAAACCAGCCAATGTTCCTAATGATTCTGCATTTTTACCTAGTTCATCAGCTTGAAACCCGGAACGAATTCCAATTGCAAAACGTGTCCAAATATCACGGCAGAGATAATTTAGCAGAACTAATTGACAAAGCACTTTGCAAAAGAAGGTACTATGTAAGCAAAAACAAGTTTGCCGATAGGAGAATATGTCTTGTTTAAGAAGTTTACATTTCGGTCTTCAGATTATCAATTTTAAGAAATGTCTGTACTCTAGGAAATAGGTTTTCATTCAAGCAAATTATCTCTGAAGTGTACCATTTGATTCAATTGACAGTAACTAGGCTCTATTAGCGCCATTGACCTTGGCAAAATTCTTGGATCAAATCTAAAAAAGATGTGTGTTTGGGGTAACTATAGCTTAAAATTTTTTACTTTAACAATGCCTTTGGCCGCTCTATATTTTCTCTTCAACGTAAAACCCAATGTCCATGGAGAACTACTAACATGCTGTAAACAGGGTGATACTTAGAGGCTTTTAATTCAGATGGACAACTTCTCTTCAGAGAAATGTTGGTACCAGCATCTCAATGAGAGAAGATTTGTGGATGATTTGTCTACTAGTACTGGCTAGGGTGGGTTTCAATCTGCTATGTCTTCCAAACATTGCATAGGAACCATGCTCACCCTTATAACAACAGTCTCATACTCTATCGTGAAACTATGCAATGATTAGGGCTAGTTTTTTAGCTCGAGAGGGAGGAAATTGAGCAAGGCAGTCCTTTATCTGCAAGATGAGTCCTCTTGCTTGATGTCGCATTCAGAAAGGCAATAAGCTAGTTCATGTCTCCCACAATACTTTTGACTCATAGTCAGATTATTAAGAGCAATATAACTATAAATTTCAATCTCTAAAAGTCAAGAGTTTTCATGGTTTATTTCCTTTTCCTTAATTTTTTTTGTTAAGATGCATCCTTAGTACATCTCTTGCTTCTTCTCCCTGTACTTGAGCTGTTGTTCTTTAAAAAATACTTGAATAGAAAAACAATGTCCGTAATCTAGATTAGCTACTTCATGTACTGCGTAAATCACAATGAAACAGATCCTGTTTCAACGTTTTAACTTTTGTGTCAACAAAGTTTGAGTGAAACCTTGATGAGTTTTAAACAAGCTTGGAAAACATGAAATGTTAGATCATAGCAGCGTCAGACAGATGAAATATCATTCTGGAAACACAAGCCATACACCGAAACTTAGTAGGCACCTGCTCTCACGTATGCAAGAAGAGACAATTACAGCTAATAAACACAAACAGAGGTTTCCTTATCAAGTACATTGCCCATGGCATATCAGAAAGTATAATTTAATCATGATTAAATTATCACATTTCTTTGCAGATTTCCAGATTTAACCATGACAACACTAAAGACATCAAAAATCTCACTGCAGTGAGAAAACGTGATAAACAAGGGGGAAAGGGAACAGGAAAGAAGAAACTAATGTTAGCTTAACTTGTAGCACTTCCCAGAACTGTACATCTTCTTGGTCATATGAAAAGAGTACAGAAATGTCTAACCAATCACAAAGAATTCAAGGAAAAGGAAACAAGGCAGAGAAATTTAGAATTAATATACACTTGAATTCTTGACGCTTCCAGAAACTCCACTTAAGGACAGAAAAGATGGAAAATTAGTTCATAAACCTCCATTTACTTTCATGGTTATGTGTTGCAATATTTAAATAGTGACAACAAACAGAACCACCACGAAATCACATCCATCAGAAATCAACATAAGGAAGACCTCCAGTAAGCTTTAGTTGTCAATCATCAAATGTCACAATTACAAAGTGGAGCTGAGTAGCTATGAAATCCGCAACAAAAGCAAGTTCAGAAATGCATGCCTTGGAGCTACTTGAATGCAACCCAGTATTGAGCCACAGTCTCCAAATTTATCATTTGCACAGCCATAATATACTTCCTTTATACCTAAAAAGGGGCAAGACAAATCTTATTATTTATGAATAAACCAATTTAGGAAAGTTTAGTTTTATTTCAGTATGACCAACAGATGTACCAATGATTGATAATGCTACTGCACACATATGCATGGTTCACATGTCACGTAAAGGGAGCATGCTGAAAACTTCTCTCCAACTTCTGTAGCTGAAGATCCAGTCCTCTGCCACTGTTCCTGAAGGACATCAAGAGCTTCCATCTCTGCATGTCTTGTTGCCTATGAAAGAGCAAGAAGAAAAACAAAGCAAGCATATCAAATTTAGGAGCTTTGTCAGAAAGATAGTTTCTCACAGTGTAGGTTAGCATAAATTTAGGAAATGCATTTCATGAGGAATGTTTTCTCCTTCAAGTTAACTAATTGAGAGAATATATAAGATAGATTAAGGCATATACTACATGAACTCAACAATTTTTGCCCGGTTGAAGTTGCTGAGAATCTCACATGGAAAAAGAGGCTTCATACTGGATTAGCCACCTTTGCCTTTTATAACAGTATTTTTATATATACCCTGTAGCAAGGTGCCTTTATGCTTTCAGTATGCTCCACAAGATACTAAAAGGGCCATATATTTTTCGTATCAACTATTCATTACTGTCCATAAAATCATTTATAGTAGTGTATTATCACCATAAAACTATAAATAATTGCAGCAATAGACTATTAGACAGGAGATGATCTTTACCAAAAACTAGGCTTAAACTATTTGTGTACATGTGGCCATTGTACGAAGAAATGTGCCCAAAGAGTTGGTTCTTAAATCTTAAAAGGCAATAATGTGACATCCCGAATTTCGGCCCATTTTTGGGTTTTATAAAACGCGTAATTTGTCAGTGTGCTTATAGTAAAATCTCGCCCGGAAACTGATCACTCCCGGTTATCATTTTAAATTAGAGATTTCGCTAGAATCGCACTCGATCGAATTTGGCCGTTATTTAGACCCTGAACTTGGCAGTCGATTTTCGGGAGTTTCGGGACGAAATAAATTGGACGGTGTCGATATTATTGTGGCCAGCGTCGCTATTGCCAGGAATGTGTGAAAAGTGGATTTTTGACCGGGTGCAAATTTGGACTAGTAGGCCTCCCTCGTAGTGTGTTTTGGATTATTTTATTTTAGCCCTTTGTCCTATATTATTATTTGGGGTTTTTCGTGACCGTTAGATCGTTTTTGGGTTTGAACCGTGTCCGTCGGATCGCACTTGAGTGAGAGGTTTGACTTTTGAGTCTCTCTCTCCCTCTCTCTCTCTCCTCTCTCCTCTGCGCCGCGCCACCCACTCCCGTGCGACGTCCCTTCGCGCACGTCTGTCCTTCTCTCTCTCTCTCTCCCTCTCTCTTTCTTTCCCTCTCTCTTTCCCATCTGGTCGCGCACGTCTCCGCCCATGCAGACCCCTGACACTCTCTCTCCTCTTTCCTTCTTCCCCTTTCTCTCTCTCTTCTTCTTCTTTTCTTCTTCTTCCTCTTCCTTCTTCCTCCCCCAGCCCCGACTGGTTCTGCTTCGCTCCGCCCGAGCTCGCCGACCGCCGTGCGCCCATCGCCGCAACCTCGACCGCCGCACCGTCCGCTCCGCCCGACCGGCCGGGTCTCTCCTTCCTCCGCGCCCCGGCTTGCTGCTCGAGCCCGCCGCGTCTTCGCCTCCGCTTCGCCGCCCGGCGCCAGCCTGGGCGCGCTCGCTATCGCCGCCCTCGCCCCCGACTGCCGCCGTCGCTGCCACGGACGCCCCAGATCGCGAGCTCGCCACGCCCGTCGCGGTTCGCCGTTCGCCGTCCGCCGGGTTCGGCCACGGCCGCTGCCGCGAGGCCGCCCCGCCCGTCGCCCCGGTTCGCCACCTCCCTCGCCTCGATCCCTCTCCCTCATCCTCACCTCCCCCGGCTCACTCTTTTTCTCCCCCGCTCAAATCATGCCGCCGCTCGGCCGCCGCCCGCCAGCCGTCGTCACCGCTGTCGCCGCTGTCGCCGGCCGCCGCCAACCAACCAACCAGCCCCTGTGCCGTGGCCGACTCGTCGCCCATGCGACCAAGCCGCGCCCACGCCCACGCCGCGCGCCCGCGCCCGCGCCCCCGTCGCCACGCCCGTGCCCGCGCCCCGTGGCCGAAGCTTCGCCCGGCGCCGTGTCTGCCCGACCAGCGCGGCGCCCATCTCGACCAGGCCAGCCGCCCGGGCCGCGTTCGCCCGTGCGCCCCGCACGCCGCACGGCCATCGCGCCCGTGCGCCAAGCACGCCGACGGCCATTGTGCTTCGCGTTGGCCGGCCACCGCGCTCGTGGGCCCGCGCCCACGCCTGGTCCGAGATCGTTCACCTGGCCATTTTGGGCCCGAGCCGACTTTTCCCGGCCAAACTTAGGTAAGTGACTTCCTAAACCTTACCTAGTACTTTGGGTATTTTTAGACTTGTTTAGGGTGAAATTTAGTACCGGCTTAGGACTTTAATTAGGCGTTGGCTAATTAGACCGATTGTGCTTAATTGGTGAATTATTGTGGCGATAATTGTGCGGCTGATTTAGTGATTGATCGAGATAAATATGCCCGATCGAATTGTCGTGGCGCTTGTGGGTGAATTCGATTAATTGAATGTGCCGACTTGAATGTCGGGTCGATGGGCCGATGTCGGGAGCATGAATTGAGTTGACTGATGTGGCGTGCTAGATTGACATTGGTGAATGGGTGGTGATTGAAATTGATTTATATGACTAAGAGCATGGTGAATTTTGTATTGTGGTGCATGTGCATGAGAAAAGCCCGGATCGATCGGAGGGCCGAGCCCGAGCGTGTTTACGCGGCCGTGAAAGGTGAGTTAGACCCGAGGCGTAGGTTACGGGTCATTGGAAAGGGAAAAATGTCCCGAGGCGTGGTTACGCGGGACCGAGCCCGGCTTGATCTGAGGGCTGCCAACCTAAGGCGTGGTTACGCGGATGTGGCTAGAAAGGCAAGTAATGACCTGAGGCGTGGTTACGTGGGTCAAGAGAAATGTCCTGAGGCATGGTTACGCGGGACTGAGCCCGGCTTGATCTGAGGGCTGCCAACCTGAGGCGTGGTTACGCGGGTCGAGAGAAATGTCCTGAGGCGTGGTTACGCGGGACCGAGCCCGGCTTTATCTAAGGGCCGAGCCTCGAGGCGCAGGGCGCGGCCGTGAGATTGGGCACGAGCGCGTGGCGCGGGCAAGTGTGAAAGGACCCGGGAGGTCGTGGAAAGTTGTTCGGCCACGTATGCGAGTTGAGTGTGATTGAATTGATTGACCGGCGATTGAATGTGTGATTGAATTGGTTGGATTGATTGAGTGCTAGTGTGGTTGGTGCTTGAGTGATTGTGATATGTTATTAGACTATTAATATTGCATTGTCACGTTTAACTAACGTGCAGAGCATGCGTTTGATGGCGAGGTAAGTACAATGACGTGAATTTTATATGTTGTGGGGTAGATTGCATGTACGACTTGTCTGGGTATGCATTGGCTTACGTGGGGTATAGGGGGTTGCTTATTGAGACTCGTTCTCACGGTTATTATATAACCATTTCAGATCCGCGACCATGAGTGACTTCAGACGCTGCAAGGGTATCTCGGAGATCAAGTGCGGGTCAAGTTGCCCCATATTTTTGTGTGCCCCTCTTTTGTATAGCGAAGTAGGATATCCAACCACTACTCCGTTTTAATGTTGTGTATTTGGAATTATTGTTTTGTGCTATCCCTTCGTCATATTTTACTGTCTGGGTTGTTTTATTTCGCTTCCGCTTGCGTAGTTCGTTTGGGTCGGCGACGCGTTCTGGGACGTCGCGTTCAATACGACCGTGGAAGGGGTGTCGCGAGCCCGTTGGGGTTCGGGGCGTGACATCCCTGTTGATTTGGTATCAGAGCAAGGTTAGCTCGAACCAAGATGGTCGAAACTGGAGTGATAAGGAGCGATGACTTTGGGGTAGTTAGTTAGGGAGATTTGTGTGCCATGCGTACCCCAGACTGTGTGATTGTGATTTGCTAAGTGATTTTTATGCAATATTATGTGAGGTGCAGGTGCGTCAGGACTTGAGGTAAGTGCACGAACTATGTTGGTTGTGATTGGTTGTCGATTGTGATTGGCTGCCTGCTTAGTGAATTATTGCTGTGATTCACTTCCTAGGGCTTTAGACTGGTATAGTTGGCCCAGGTCTTTAATTCCCGAGGGGAATTATAGCAGGTAAGTGGGTGGTGTGAACCCTGTGAGTATGAGTAGCCGAGGAAGAGGTCGAGGTCGAGGTCGTGTAGGTCCGCAAGTTAGAGTTGCAGAGGATCCCATAGTGGATGGAATTTTGAGGGCACTCGAGGGAGTTGGAATTTTAATGGGAAGGCAAACTGAGGAGCGAAATGCTACTGTTGCTACTAATGCCACTGATGCTGAGGCCATTATTGTCGCTGTTAATGGAAATGTTGGGAATCAAGGTCAAGGGCAAGTTAATGCGATCGATAGATGCGTCACCGGTTGGAAAATATTTGAAATTGAAACCTCCGAAGTTCGATGGTAAAGGTGACCCTGAGGCTACATTGCTTTGGAGGTATTCGGGTGCACTGGTGAGGAGAAAGTGACCCTGGCTATATATCAACTTTAAGGAAATGTAAATGATTGGTAAGAAGGCCCCCAAAGTGGGATATTTCAGAGGGCATATTTCTAAGCTGGGGTGTCGTTATCGAGGCCTTCAATGGGAGGTACTTTCAGAGAGCGCGTGAGGACAGAAAATGACAGAGTTTCTTCGGCTTCACTAAAATTGAATGTCAGTCGATCAGTACGAGGTAGAGTTGGTAAGGTTGTTTAAGTACGCACCAAGGATAGTTAATGATCGTGTGGATAGGACAAGGAGGTTCCGGGATGGACTGAAACCGAACCTCCGCAGTCAGTTGATGTTAATGAACTTAAGGGATTGTAATGAGCTGTATGACAAGGCTTAAACGGTTGAAAGGGATATGAATGAGAGGGTTACCGTATATGGATCGCGATACGCGCCGACTAGGGACAATAGGAACTTTGGAAAGTCGAACTACTACTCCAACGCCGCATGTCGGTCTTATGGAAAGAGGCATAGGAATGACTATTGCCAAGGTAGAAGTGGAGCATGTTGTGGATGTGGACAGTAAGGTCACCAAGTGAGAAATTGTTGAACCGATAGGTTAGGTTACTAATGCAATCGCAATGACCGCAGTGGGACATTAAGCTTGAGAGCCGCCTCGCAGATTTATCATAATCGACTAAGGACGTAA